AATTTTCAGGATATATGTATTTTGATCTCCTGAATAACTTTCACTTAATAAGCCATGTCGATATGCTTAGTAAAATTCTTCGTAATCGAGAAAAATCTGCTTTTACCCAAAAATAAGCTACTCCCGATTTTTTGAGCTTAAAATCATCCAAAAATAGTAGCTTATTTTTAGGAATCTACAGTAATTTTCATTATTTTAAAGATTAAAAAAATTATAAATAAAAATTAATTTATAGTAGTATACACCGACAATGTAGATATAGAGAAAAAGAGTCACTTGAAAGTATCAAGAACATCTTTCAAGTGATCAGAATAGAAGGCTCCAAAAAAAAGTAACAGAAACTGCCCAAGAACGTGAGTCACATCTTGCTCGAGATAGAGAAAGAAAACGTTGTAAAGCAAGAACAAATGCTAATTTACAGCAAGAATCAGAACAACCCGTAATATCAGTAAATATAGAAAGTATATATACAATTAGTGAAAATATTTCTACTTTATCTCAAATTGAAAATATTGATAATACATCTGAAAATGAAGAGATTATTATAGCTATGTCTTAAAATGATAATATTGCAGAAATAAGTATTGAATTACAATCAGCCACAGAATTAAATAAAATCGAACAAGAACTTTTGAGAAAATTTCGCACTAAAATGAGTAACCTTCAATATGTTCTCTGCACTATGTGCAATGAACGTTTTTTATTCATAGTGTTTGTCAATAGAATATGCTGTCATTGCAATGGTGAAAAGGTTTTACCAAAAAAGTTTCTGCTGCAAATAATATGGATCCAGGTAAAATACCTAAAGAGCTTTAGGGTTTAACAGAAGTAGAAGAAATGTTAATAGCACAAGTTTTTACTGTAATATCAGTATATAAACTTCATAGTGAACAACTCAATAATAGAGGAAATGTTATAAATTTTTCTCAAGACATACAAGAATTTACTACACAGCTTTCTCAATATCCATTGACATTAAATATACTAATTGTACATCATCAATCATACTGCATTTAGAGACTTTATAGTTCGTCATAATATTGTTGCAAATATACTATATTGGTTAAAAGCAAATAATTGTTATTATACTGATATTACTATTGACAATGAAGTACTTGAATCTTTGCCTGAAGATAGTTATATAGATGATCAGCTTCTATAACTTCAAACTAATGAAATAGATGATGATTCAAATATTAAAAATGAAGATGAAATTACATGTTCTTTTGTACCTTTTCTTCTACCAACTGATCATGAGAATATTGTTATTAATAATGCTCTTGACTGTCTGGAGTCTGAGAATTTACCAATAATATGGCCACATATTGACAATACGCCAATTAATGAATTTCAAACTCCAGGATATATTGTATATGTATTTCTAACTTTATATTCAACTGGTTGTGCTGACTTTTATACAGAACGTGCTAAAGATATTAAACCAGCTGAATACTTTAAGCATTTTCTTTAATTTAAAGATAGAAGATTTGCATGTCACTCTCGTTGGCATTATTTTGTATTAAATTCCCTAATGCGATAGAAAGCACTACAAGAAGGAAAAGTTTTTGTTAGGCAAAGTTTGAATGATGATCAGCTTACTGTTACTGATATTTGAAATATGATTGCTAAAGGTGATATATATATGGCTAACAAAATTATGAGATTTGGTATTGGTTTGCGTAGAACTCAGCAATTTTGGGCTGCATGTCATTACGAGTTATCAGATATGATAAAACAATTAGGCTCACAAGGATTAGTATTTTTTATTTTTAGTGCTGCAGATCTGCTCTGGCCTGAACTTCATGATCTTATACAATCACAAGAAAATCTTATAGAGAAAGAAATTGATTCTGCAAATTGTCGACATCAAAATATTATTGACAATCCTCATATTGCTGTTTGGTTTTTTAATAAGCGGTTTGAGATTTTTTTTAATGATGTACTAAAACAGCAATGAGATTTAGAAGACTGGTGGTATAGATTTGAGTGGCAATATCGTGGTAGTATACATATATATGGTATAGGAAAGAAACGGAATACTCCTGTAATTGAATAGGAACAAATAAAAAATGATGATCAAATCATAAATACAGTCATACAGTATCTTAATTCACAAGTCATCACGATAAATCCAGGACTTGATGCACCTATACCTGATCGTCATCCATGTCAGAAATGTCAAAATGAAATATATGATGATTTACAAGATTATATTGATTTAATTAATAAATTACAATAGCATAACAATACAGTGCTACATATTGTCTTTGTGTTGATCGAACTAGGCAACAATTCTGCAGATTTGGTTTTTCTAAAGATAATAGTGAGTATACTTTTTTGCATGAAGATAGTTGTGGAGAACCAGAACTTGTAACAGCAAGAAATGATCTATATATTAATCTACATAGTCAACTTTAGTTACAAGGTTGGCAAGCAAATGTAGATATTAAACCAATTTTGAATATTTATGCAATCTTACAATATATTACAAAATATGCAAGCAAGGCAGAGCCGCATTCTGCTGCTTTTTTAGAAATATTAAATCAGATCATATCTAATAGTAGATCTGATAATTTAGTAATTTCAATAGCTCAAAAATTGCTAATACATAGTATTGCAGAACATGATATTTCAGTACAAGAAACTTGTTATATTCTTCTTGGTATCTTTCTTTATCACTCAAGTCAATCATTTATCTCTTTAAATCTAAATAAAGAAGCACCAAGATGGTTTCGTGGTACTGGTAGTAATGAAGATAATAGATTTATGTCAATTAGAAATGCAGGATTAACATCAAAATCATCTTTAAAAATATATTGGGATCGACCATTTGAATTTGATAATTTCTCTTTATATCAACTCTACTTAATATACAAATTTGTTAATAGTCATTGGATAAAGTGTAAACAAGAAAATATTATACATATATGGCCACGTTCATCACCTCTATACTATGGTCTTTAATAGGAAGAATTTTGTCGCATCAAAGTTCTTCTTCATGTTAGATATCGATATCTTGAATAGCTAACTGCAAATAATACTATAGAATGGTCAAATATATATAATCATTATCTTGAAGAGATTAATGCTGATCTAATAGACCTACTTGGTCCTCCAATTAATATAGTAGATGAAATAGAAAATAAAAATATTGAAGAAGATTTAGATGAATTTGAAGATGAAGAGAATGAATTTCAGCTTGATTGAATGTGTTTAGCAGCAATAGGTCCAAACTTAGTTATAAATAGATTTTCTGAATTAGGATCTCGTGATATAGATATTAACTTTAATTGAGCTAATGATGCTAGACAGTACTACTCTATTAATGATCTTACAGATGTTGATATATTTATTCATCAGACAAGAACAAAAAGAGATGAAAATAGAATTATAAATACTGTTAATTATCAGACATTAAATAAAAATCAACAAAAGGTTTTTAAACGAATAGAGATACATTACCAAAATATACTTTCTGGTTTTTAAGTTGAACCATTAAAAATCATTGTCATGGGAACAGCAGGAACAGACAAATCTTATCTGATTAGAGCAATTAGAAGTCAACTTTGTAGAATGGCAAGAATTAAATCTGAACCACTTTGTATTTGTACTTGTACCAACAGGAGTTGCTGTATATAATATTAATAGTGCAACTATTCATTCAACACTTTTTATTCAATGCAAATTGGAAATACTATTGATTTAAAAAATGAATAGTTAAAGCAACTACAAACAAAGCTACAAAATGTAAAATATTTAATTCTTGATGAAAAAAGTATGGTTGGACATCGAATGCTCAATTTGATTGATATTCGATTACAACAAGCTTTTCCTGAACATAAAAATGAACTTTTTGGTGATTGATCTATTATTATAGTTGGAGATTTTGGTCAACTTCCTCTAGTATTTGACCTCCCTATATATGCTACTAATGTTTCAAGAGATCCATTATCTAATAGTGGTATTATATTATATGGTTAGTTTCGTGAATATATAAACTTGATATTATTTAACACCAATCTGAAGATTCTAGAGAGCAACAAATTTTTAGAGAAATTTTTTTAAGATTACGCAATGGCGAGTTTACATTTGAAGATTGGAAAATACTTACTACACGTATTAAAGAAAAACATAATAGAACTGAATGTGATCGATTTTTAAATACTATGTTTATATTACCAAAATAGTCTGAAGTTGATGCAGTTAATTTAAATAAACTTGAATCTTTAAAGAATCCTGTTGTCAAAGTTCTTGCTAAACATACTAGTGACCAAGAAGCTAAAAAAGCTGATTCTGATATTGCTAAAGGTCTTGAAGCACAACTTTTATTAGCTAAAGATGCTTGAGTTATATTAACGGCAAATCTATGAACAGAAGCTGGATTAGTTAATGGATCAATAGGAACTATTTATGATATTTTGTACAATAAGAATGGTTTATATTTTCTTCCTGTAGCAGTTTTTATTGCTTTCAATAATTACAATGGTCCTGCTATTAGAACATTAGAAGGTATAAATGTTGTTCCAATAGTACCTATTCAATGTACTTGGAAAAGCAAATCTGGGATAATGTGCTCACAAAAACAGATTCCTATTTGTCTTGCCTGCGCTATTACGGTTCATAAGAGTCAGGGACTTACTCTTTCAAATGCTGTAATAGATCTTGGAAATAAAGAGTTTGCAGCTGGTCTTTTTTTTATAGCAGTGTCTCAAGTTCGTGCTCTTTCTGATCTTTTTTTTAAACCTTTCAGCTTTGAAAGGCTTCAGCAAATTAAAAATTGTAAAAGATTACAAGATCGAAAAAATAAAGAAGAATGACTGATATCTATGATATTTAATGAATAAAAAGAGTAATAGTTAATTTATATTGTTACAGTACCGTGGCCTTCTTAACAGCAGTACTATAACAATGACACGGCTACAGGGATCCTTTACAGGT